ACGCTGGAAAGTGGCTGCTCCCCAGGATGGCTCTGCCATTCAAGGCTGGAGGCATCCTGGGGCTGGGAGAGGCTCCTGCCTCAGCCAGCTGGGAGGCCCCACAGATTCTTTTCACACCATTTCCCACATGGCCTTGGCCTCCCCTGGAAGGATCTCACTGTCCCCTTAGGGAGGAGTCTTCTCTGTGGGACACTGCTCCCCTAGCTGCCTACTGTGGAGCATGGGGCCAGGCTGGACCAGCACGGGCTTCAAGGAACTCGGTTACTTCCTGCTCCAAGGACGGCATCTACCCAGGCACGGTTCCAAAGGGTTGGTCACTTCTCACCTGGCCATGGCTGGATTGGCAGGGAGCCTCTCCTTCTCCTGGCTCCAGCCGCGGCCTGGCCTGGTGCCCACATCCCTGCGTCCTCCTGTCTCGAAGGTCCTGTGGTCCCAGAGTGGCAGAGGCACCAGGGCTGGTCCCCGGCCTGGGGAAGGTGCAGCCTGGCCAGGAGTCAGCTGGAGTTCCCCAAGGTCTTGTGTGCGCCTTGGGTGGATATGGGGCAAGGCTGGGTCTGTGCGGTCCCAGAGGTGCTGCCCCGGGGAGGTGGATGAATGGGGACCCCTGGGCAGGACCCTACCGGGGTATCGTCCCTGGCCCTGGTGCTGTCCTGGTCTTCAGTCATTAACAGGCGAACACACTTTGGGTGTCCCAGGAGCAGGCACAGGCCTCTCTGCCCCTGCCCGCCACCCTAGAGTGTGACCAGGGAGTACCCGAGTGCCGGCGGGTGCTGACCCCTGAAGTTGCGGTTCTCATTCAATCACCATTTTAAGCTTCTCTGTTTTGTTTAGCTTAGTTTTCTGTCATTTTTTAAAAATAGGGTCTCTCTATGCATTTAAGGCTGGCTTGAGTTCACTATGGTACCCAGATCTGGCCTTGAACTCACCCAAATCCTCCTGCCTCAACCTCCTGTGTGCTGGGAATATAGAAATACATCGACATGCCTGACTTGAGCCTCTGGCTTGAGTCTGCATCCCAGAGCTCCCTGAGTGCAGGGTGGTGGGGTGACAGGTATCTCTGGGTGAGCTCTCCCTGGCACTCACTCAGGAGGCCCACTGAGCCCAGCAGGAGCATGTGTGCAACTAAAGAGTGAAGCTTGCGCTGAGAGAGCTCCCCATACCACCTTCGGTCACCCTGACTGCTGAGCCCAGAGTGCAGGCTTCCAGCTGCCCTTGGCCGGCTGCATGAACACATGGGGTCTCACTGCAGGTTTACTGGGTCCCTGGCCTCCCCACACCACTGCTGTGGGCCATCTTGCTGCTGTCCTGTGTCCTGGGCTCTGCTGGCATCCTGTCGGGGTGCACAGTGTGCTCTGGGGAGCATCCTTCCTTTCCCATCCCAGGCCAACTCCAGCTGACTGTTCAGGACTGGCCACACCAAAAACAGTCATCAGGGCCCAGGACTAACAAGAAAAGGAGCCCATGCTGAAAACACCTCAGCACTCGGAAAGGGACTCAAGACCTGGCTCTTTCTCCACAGACACATAGCTTCAGGACGCCAAGAAGCAGGTGGCAGACAGGTGACCGACAGGCAGAGGATTGATGGACAGATGGATGATAGACGGTGATAGACAGATGGAAATACTAACAGGTGGACAGGTGAGTCACAGATAGATGATACATAGGAAAAGAGATAAGTAGAAAGAAGATAGATGAATCGTTATAGATAGATACTAGATAAAGAGAACTATTAATGGATAGGTACATGATAGATACACAGATAGAAACAATGGATGAATAGATAATATTATAGAGAGTGACACATGGGCAGATGATAAATGGTTGGTCCAAGGATCATTGGTGGATCTCTGGTAGACTGACATACACATAACATGTAATATAGCTAAAAATGACTTCATGGATGGTAAAGTACACATGCACAGAAAGCAATACATAGATACAGATATGCACAGATGATGGAGAGAGAGAGAGATAGACAGATGGAGATAGTTAAGGAATAAGCTCATGTGGGCAGGGCTGGCCAGTCTGATATCCATAGGGCAGGCTGCTGGGCTGGGAATTAGACTCAGCCTGGAGCTGAGAATTCTTTCCTTCAGAGACCTTGGCTTTGCCCATAAGCCTTCAACTGCTCCAACAAGACCCACCCAACCTGAGGAGGGTCACCTGATTTGCAGTCCATTGACTATCAGTGTAACCTCGGTTGGATACTGCAGGGCAGCGTCTGTGGCCAGACTGCTGAGGACTGAGCGTCTCCATGGCAGGAGGAGGCTGTAGGATTTCCGAGTGACATAAAACTTCTGCATTTTCCAACGCAAAGGGCTCTCTTTGTGCATTTTTGCCATTAGTGGACAATGGATTCACTGGACATTTTTTGAACTAGGGAGACACTAATAAGTTTCTTCTTTACTCGATTAAGGTACTAAAGTACATGGACAGTTTTTTTTTTAAAAAAATGTTAAACCAATTTTGCTTTTCTGGAATAAACTCCATGTTGCCAAGATGTTTGATCTTTTTAAATGTCTCTGATTTGGTTTGCTAATGCATTGTGGAGGGCTCTTGTTCCTGTTTTTGGTCATCTTTATTTCTGTTCCTCGTAACAGTTTTCTACTTGTACTTACTTAATGTTGCATCATTGAGAATTTCCCCATCTTTTCGGGAGGCCAGTTTTAGCAGTTGGTCACTACTCCTGTGTGCAGACAATAGAAAGCCAGGCTGGCCGCTGGGTGGGGATGACCCTGATGGATGGCACATGGCTCTTGGTGCTTCCGGGAGGACTGAGGAGTTGGAACCCTTGGTCAGAAGCAGGGAGTGCTGGCTGGGGCTGTATGGGAAAAAGGATGGCAGATCTACCAGGAAGAGGAAACGCAGCTGAGTGTTAAAGTCACCCAGGCACGGCTGGAGGGGAGGGGACGTATGGAGACGACAGCATGGGAAGCCGTCATGGGTGCATTACAGTGAACCAGAGGAGGGGCCCAGCTCAGAAATGTGCAGAAAGGAGTGTCAGCAACACACGGGGGAGGGCATGGGTGTGATGCCCTGGTCTCTGGTGTGAGCTGAGCAGGAGCATGGTCTTGCCACCGAGATGGTGTCGGAGGGCAGAAACTTGAGGGAGAACTTCCTGGTTCTACAGAATCAGATTGTGTGTGTGGGGGATTCGGATGTAAAGCAAACCGGTACTGGGATAAAGAACAGGGGGACAGGAGGGGGAGATGGGTGGGGAGATAGGTCGATAGATGGGTAGGCTGACGGATGGACGGATGGACGGATGGATGGATGGATGGATGGATATGATGTTAGATGGGTGGTGGGTGGCTGTGCGGGCGAATGGGTAGACGGCGTCTTGATGGCCGGGCACATGGATGGACGGGCGGGTGGGTGGCTGGGTGGGAAGGTAGATGGGTAGATGAATGGATGAGTGGATGCAGATGTGGGGGTGGCTGTGACAGAGATGTTAGAGCAACTGACAGACACAGAAGGTAAAGCAGACAACTTCTCAGAGTACGTGTGTCGGGTTAGAGGAATGCAGAAGACACAGAGGCAGGACAGCTGCCCAACCTCCAGGTTGAGAAAGGACGAGGCTGCAGAACCTCTGCAGAGACACCAGGGTGCCAGCCACAGGGCACTGCTATGAACCTCAGGTCCCTCCTATTCTGACTCTAGATTTCAGCTCTGGACACACAGGGAGTCTTCTCTTAAAAGGGTCTCACAACCTGAATCCCAGCAGCACTGCCAAACCAGGCCTGGCCCCTGCAGATGACGGAGGTCCATCTGTACACTGACAGCTGGTGCTGCGGATTGCTCAGACACCAGCAGACACAGCAGCAGGGCAAGCCCTGCACCTCCCTTAGTGCCTCCTCTACTCGGGGCTCTGGAGAGGGTGTGCCCAGGGTCCTGCATGCTCAGAAACCACAGAGGCATCAGGTTGGTGGAGAGGCAGGCTGTGCCCATACCCACAGCAGGTCAGATGTCCTCTTTCTGTGGTGTCTTCTCTGTTAGGAGGGCAGAGGCTTCAGGAGCAGCACGTGAACTAGTGATGTCCCCACTCCAACAGGGGCCTCTCTGCCCGCCAGGAGGGACCTCAAGGCCAGCTCAGCATGGAGCCCATATGATGTGTGTGCAGGACTCCACCTGGGGCCAGCTGGGTGAGGCTCGGCTCTTGGCAGGAAGGCAATTCAGGGCCCTCTAATAGGGAATGGGAGCATGGCTTTATCCGAGGAGCCATAGACCAGTCCGTGAGGAAGCTCTGAAATAATAAAACTGGACTCAGACTCAGCTATCTCTGCAGCCAAGAAGTTAATTACCTCATCCTGGAGCTCTGTGGTCCACAGAGACAGAGCTGAAGTCTATTTTTCCTTCCAGAGTGGAGTGCAGGCAGCAAATTCAACTGGGACTCTGGGTATAGGGTAAATAGTCCTTTTTTTTATTGTCTAAATTGGGCAAATAAGACAAAAAATAGATAGATGGAGTCACTGTTCCATGACGACACTGTGCCAGGGTGGAGGTGACCCAAGTCCTGCCTCAGTCCTGTGGGACTGGGACCCCACGGGTGACGCCCAGGGTCCAGGGCTTTGTCAGACTGACGGAGGCAGAGGTGGCCAGCATCCCTGGAGCTCTCCGTGCCTCAGTTTCCCACTTTGTCCTTCCTTTCCTGTTATCACCACAAAGTGTGAGACCAGACTCAGGGTCCCAGAGGGGTTCAACCCTTGGCCCCCGGCACTAAACAGTCCAGCCACAAGATAGGCGCTGCTCATGGGGTCTGGGGAGAGGGCTCTCAGCACCTGAGCCCCAGCCTGACCTGCTCCTGGAAGGTCTTCTCCTCCCTCTCAGAGAAGCCTGAGCCTTAAGCTGGGCACTGGGAGACACTGCCCATCCCACTCCCTTGCAGGATGGGAGCAGGAGCATCACAGGCACATGAACTTCAGAATAAAACCAACTCCAGGAAAGAAATCATGAAAACAGTCTCTGATAAATATATTTATTTTCCACAAATAAAGCTGGGCATCAGAGCTCTCAGGCTGGCAGTGGGCTGTGGAATTAACTGCTTCAGTCTTCATTTTATCGGCTGAGCAGTGCGGCCAGCCTGTACCGGGCTTGTGGTCAGCACCCTAAGTGCAGCAGAGCCACATTCCCTCCACATCTCACGGAGAAGACACAAGGCCACGTCTGAAGGATGCCTAGGCCACAGCTGGGACCCTCAGTGGACACCACAGGGCCAGGCCAGTCACCGGCACAGCCGAGGAAAGGGCACTGCCCACACCTGCTGTTACAGTAGGGGCATGTCTGTGTCTGGAAGCCCTGCCCTGGGTGACATGGTAACCATCACCCTCCTCTCTGTACCCACCCTGAGCCCCAGGAAGCCTTTGTTGGAGGGGTCTGAGTGCTTCCATCTGAGCGTAGATACCAAGGGTCCGGTGGATACTCGATCTCCCCTCACAGTGAGCCTGGGCCCAGGACTCAGTACCCCTGGGGTGGCAGGAGCAGTGCGGTGCCTGCCCTCAGCAGGAGGAGCTGCCCTGGGGACAGCCAGGACCATGGGATCTGCCGCTCCGTCACCCACAGCCACCCTCCCCAGAGATGCCTGTGTTTATTCCCCACCCTGCAGTCTGTCTGGCTCTTGCCCGTGGCGTGTAACTGAACCATCCTCTACCTCCCTCCCGGCCATACTACGGATGTCCGGTCCCTCCTCTTCTTCCCCGAGTGGCCCTGTGAGGTGCTGCCCAGCTCTCCTCTCTCGCACCCTTGGGTGCCTCTTCACCTCCCAACTCCTAAATTCTCTGGGGGACCCGGGCTTTGGTGGGCACCCTGTGCTTTTCACGACTTCTGCGGTGTCCAGCCAGGGCCCTGAGCAAGGCGGCTGCGCTCCTGCAGATTCCAGCATCTCCCCCTGCCTTGGGCTCCACACCTCTTCCAGCTTCTTGTGGGCTTAACATCTGCAGCCTCCTGAAGGTCCGAAGGGAAAATGAGGGACGTTGTGCACAAAATCGCGCCTCTGTGTGGTAACAAGGAGATGGGACCGGTCCCTTGTAAGAATAGGCCGGTGACTTGCTGACTGATGGAGTCGGTGCTTTGTGATTCGAGCCTGGCCTCTGGGTGCCGCAGGGATATGTGGGCCCTGCTCTCTGTCAGTTCCTGGACAGCTTCTGAAGCCCTGACTGCGGACACCCAGGTTCTGGCAGTGGCTGGCGTAGCTCTGCCCTTGTCCCCGTTTCTACCCCCTTGGCCTTGGCGGAGTGGAGCGGTGGCCTCCTGGACCTGGGTCCTGCTCACTGAACTCTGCCCATCCCCCTAAGGAGTCGGAGCAGCCGGGGGTGGTGGCCCAGTCTGCCGGGTGTTAAAGCAATGGGCGTTTCCTCCTGTGTTTCTGTGTCTTCTGAGTTTTTGCAATGAAGATGTCTTATTCAACGACAACTTCAAGGCATTTGACACTGTTTAGGGCGGAACTCAGTGGGAAGGAAGGAGGCTGCTGATTGGCTTTTCTGGAAAAAGAAGAGCTCGTGAGTGAAACGCTGTCCCCTTAGGCCCCGCCCAGCGTGGGAGGGTCACCTGGGGTCCTGATCAGGTCAGCGGGGGTGGACGAGGCCTCCTGCACCCAGAGTGCAGCACCAGGTCGCTCCCGTCACTCACTCATGCACTCGTTCGCTCTCTTATCTACTCACCTGCGCATCCGTTCGTTTATGATTTCTATTCACTCGCTCGCCATCACTCATTCACCCTTCCACATCTCATTACTCATTCCTTCGCTCACACTCCCTCATTCATTCGCCTCATCATTTATTTCTGCTCTCAATGATCACTCATGTAAGAATTCATTCACTCACTTTTTTGTTCGTTAACTTCACTCACTCATTCTAGTGATCGTGTGTTTCGCTGGCGCTCTCACCCTGGTGAGACCCTAGGCTGAGCTGGGGAGCATGGGTGTCCATCTGTCCACCCACTCAGCCACCCCTCTGTATATCTGTATTTCTACCCTCCTATCTATTCATTTGTCCACCCATCATCCATCCATCCATCGTCTGTCCATCCATCTGTCCACCCACTCATTGATCCATTTGTCTGTCTACCCACCAACCCATCTGTCCACTTGGTTAATCAGCAGCTGATGTTCAGCAGGAGCTGGACTCTCAGCAGAGATGGAATTAGTCGAGAATGCTAATATCAGGTGGGGACGTATATATCAGTGATCTCAGTAAACCCGACTGTGTTCTGAGTGCCAAACACCATTCTTGGTGCTCAGTGTTTTGTGGCCACAGTGTGCAAAGGTCCTGAAAATCACTGCTATTTGCTCTGACTTCCAAATGAACCTGGAGTCCAGGAGGGGGTTCTGGGCATCAGGTCTTTGTAGGAGATCAGGGAGAGCCTGGCATATAGAGGGGTGTTTCTTAGGGGCCAGGGCCAGGGCTCCTCCTGGGCAGTGCTCCAGGGCTCAGTCCCGTCCCTGGCATGGTGTCTGCCACCCCAGCTGCTGCCCTCCCTGCCCTCTAAACAGGGAACCATCCTGATGGCTGCCCTGTCCAGGAGGCTGGGCAGAGCTTGAGGTGGAAGTTGAGGCTGATGGCACAGGTGGTTGCCAGAAGCAACCAGGATTGTGTGGACTTAGACTGTGGCTGTTTCTGCTACAGAATCCCTGAGTCAGGCCAAAGCAGGAAGGCGGGGCCAAGGCATAGATACTAAATGGGGCATCTACTGAAGGTTTTTAACCAGAGTGGCCTGATTCTGGAGAAGAACCCTAGATGTGGTGAGCAGGATTTGGGGCTGGAGTCTCACACCTCCAGTCACCTCCCACCACAAGGGCAGGCAGCCTCCTCTCAGGCTGAGAGGGTCAGCTGAGCCAGAGACAGGAGTCACCCAGGAACCCAATGCATTGTGGATTCAGAAGGAATGTAGCAAACAACTCACAAAGAGACAGAAACCCCAGGAACACGTCGGACTCGGGAGAATCGATTGAGGAGATGACATGCAGGGTCAGGAGCTCCTGTGGAAACAACAGAGGGAGTCAATAATTAAACAAATTGCTGAAGAAAATAGTACTCAAATTGACAAAGGACTGGGGCTTGCTGATTGTTCCTGCATTCCAAGTGGGATTATGGACATGATAAATAGTTGTGCATATTTCAGAAAAAGCCCTGACTTGGAGGATAAAGAACGTCTCAGAAATGTCCTTCAAAAAGAACAAGCTGTCGCAGAGGAGGCAGCTCAACTGACATCACAACTGCAGCAGCCAAAGATGGGTCCCATCACCCAGAAGACAGCCCTGTGTCTATCTGCAGCCCTGAGTCCCCAGGGGTTGCAGGGGTGGGAGAGGTACCAGCCCTCCAGATGGCAGTCAGTGCACACGTGGTCCCCAGGCATGTGCAGACACACCGAGTGTCACTCATCACAGGGGAATGGAAACCAGAAGCCACCCTGAGATCCATCTTACATCCGTCCAAGAAGGAGGAGACAAGATCAGCTAGGGTGAGGGGAAGGACCCTGGCACTATGCTGACGGAACGGAAGTCAGCGCAACTGCTGTGGAGAACTGTGTGGAGGATCTTCAGAAAGTCAGCACTAGCCCCACCTGTGACCACTAACCCTACCTGTGGGTGTTTCTTCAATGGAAATGAAGTCAGTGCCTCAAGGGGACACCCGCAGTCCACGTGGCTCACCACCTTCACAGGGGCCAAGGAACAGCATCTGCTTATGTGCTCCTGGATGACGACCAGGTACAGAAAACGGGGCACTACACACGGTGGGATGGCACGCAGCTGTTACAGAGACAGAAACCCTGCCGCTGGCCACAACACGGAGGGACCTGGGCGAAGTGTGAAACCCTGGGACCTGAAGAATTGTGCCGCCCATGGCTGAGCGCATGAGACACACCTGAAGTCAGACTGAGCACGCAGAGGTGAAGACAGATCCCACCCAGACCACTGGACACTGTGTGGGGAGCAGAGGGGCCACATGTGTACTCGGCAATGCAGAGTCCACCCGGGTAGAGCTAAAAACCCACAAACAGATATTTGGTGCTAAAGGAAGACAGTAAGAGCAAATTAAAAAAAAAGACTAATCAAACGAGAATTATACAAATTAAACAAAAAGTAGTAAAAAAAAAGACAAAAAATAGTAAAAAAAAATGTAAACAGATCCAAAATCTATTTCTTTGACTAGATTAATGACTAGATCAAGCCTGCCAACCCTAAGGACAAAAAGGGACAAAATTAGGTGTGTAAATAAGAACACAGTATGGACTGCAGATCAGGTGGTGAACAATTTGACACCAATGTTCCATGTAGTCGGGACCAGCCCTGGGAGGCCACAGACCCTGGGTATCAGCCCCTAAACCAATCTGTGCTCTGGTTTAGAATGCCTGCCATTAGCAAAGACCCAGAAGTATCTAGTTAAATATTTTAAGTGAGAGAATCAAGCTTCCTGACTATGAACATGCAGGCTTACCTTCCTGGGCTCCCAGAGGACCAGGCTCAGAGCTCAGTTTGGCTGGTGTCTTAATGTCCCCATCCCCAAGGAAGGCGATCCTGGCCCATCCTGAGGAGGTGGCACTGGCCAAGAGACCAGGGAGGCCCCTGAGGTTGAACATTTGCTACAGGACCCCTGTGGTCCTGGGGACCACACTGGAGGGACAGTGACATCGCCGCGATGGGGGCTGTCCCTTGCCTTAAGGACCCCTCGCCTTTGGGGCCAGGTCAGAGAAGGCGCTGTAGAAGGAGTGGCTCGGGTGTGGGGCAGCACGTCTGAACACAGGAAATGTGTGCCCCGGATGTGTGTCACCAACGTGGGCCCAGGAGCCGTGGAGAGCTCGGAAGGTGCTTTGTCAACGTGGATTTCAATAATGCCTTAGGACGAAAGAGTGCCACAGGGGAGCTGATTTCATTTTCGCAAGCAAGTGCAATTGTAACCCACATCTTAAAATAGTTCAAAACTGTAAATTATAGTCCAGGCTGAATTTTGACATAATGTCAACAAGAATCTAAATTATAGCTTGTACACAGAATAGGGAACTTTATCAAAAGAATAAAACACTATGACAATATGGTATTTATTCCAGAAATGCAAATATATTTTAGTATCTGGATATTTAGTAACCTGATTCATTATTCTATGGGTAGATCAGAGGAAAAATAAACTACAATCATACCAACAGATAGAAAAGACATATTATTAATTCAGCAGTCTAATACAAGACACATAATAAAAGAATACACAGAAATTTTCTTAATGCAATTAAGCAACAGCAGATGCAACTTTAACAGAAACCATAACAGGTATTTCAGTAAACATCAGAAACCAGTTATTAATCTTGCTAGCCACATTATTTAAGAGTCTGCTGAAGTTTTCAGAGTGCAGTTCGAGAGAACGGGTGATAAGTGTGATAGAGACAGAAGGAAAGGAGAATTTTAAATGAATGATACCTCGAGGGTTGCCTAACGCCGCCTAGAAAGCCGAGCAAATAGGGAGACACCTACTCAAACTCAGACAAATGGATGGCGCGAATCGATCGCACTCACACGTTCCTACAAACGGAGAGAGAGGGCGTATCGATTCACAGCTGCGGCACGCACCAGAAGCTTCTCAGGAATCTCTTCAGAGAGAAAGTCCTGGGCCCTCATTACATTCAAATGTTGTTGAATGACAACAAAAAGCATTTGGTGCAGCCAGTCCTAGGGAAGCACCCAGGCCCACACAGCATCCATCTCTCCAGGAAATGCACCTATAAAAACCTCTGTGTGGGGAACAGCCCTGCAGCCCCCAAGCACCTCACAGCAGCAGGTAGGGTGAGGACCCTGGGGCTTTGTCTCCAGGTTGTGTCCTTAGTGCCCCCAGGCACAGGGTGAGCCTGGCACTAACAGAAGAGGTGGGTGTAAGAGGCTCTCACAGAGCCCAGAACGAGGCCATGCCTACATCTGGATCACCCAGACAAGGCCAGGACAGTGGTGGCAGCAGCTGAAGAAAGATCCACTTGCCAAATGTGGCCCTCGACCCGGAGAAGCTGTGTGGCCCCCTCTTGTCTGCCTTCCCTCCTCCTGTCTCTTCCCTTCCATCTTCACAGAGACGCTCAGCCCGCTCAGCCGTATGAGGTCACACATGAGTGTCCAGCAGCAGGAGGACAGCAAGGGGAGCTGCCGGGAACGAGACGGTCCCGGAGACCTTTAGATTAAGTGGGACAAAAATGTAAATGGGACCTAAGTGGCAAGAATTGTTCAAGTGATCCAAAAGAAGGAAGAAAGCAGAGGAAAAGAAAATAGTTAAACAGAAGTGAAATAATAAATGGTAGATGTAAATCTAAATACATCAATAGCTTCATTAAATGCAAATTGTTTAAGCTGAGCAATGAAATGGCAGGCATGGTCAGACCAGACTAGAAAGCGCTTGGCCCACCTCTGCGTAGTCTGTAGGAAACCCCGTCAAAGACAGTGATCGTGTGGTAGGAGGGCAAAGCCGTGTACTATGGTTGGATAAGTATCTGAAAAGGCCGCTGGATTCTCAGTCACCAGCCTATGGCATCTTGGAAGGTCATGGAGCCTTTAGGAGGTGGGGCCTGGTGGGAGGAAGTGAGGTCATTGTGGGGGCGTGGCCTCTAGGGGCTATGGGACCCCACACCACCTCCTCCTCCTCCTCTTCTTCTTCTTCCTTCTCTTCCTCCTCTCCGCTTCTTCTTCTTCTTTTTTTTTTTTTTTTTTGCTTCCTGGCCACCATAAGGGGAGCAACTTCCTCCATCACTTGTTCCTACCATCATGTTCTTCGCCACAGGCCAAAGGGATGAGCCACAGAGTAGAAACTCTGACACTGTGAGCTACCTGAAGCCTTCCTTCCTGTAAGCGGATTTAGCTCTGGAATCTGCCATAGTAACGGAGAGTTGTCTAACACAACTGGAGAGTGACACCATGAAGTCATGAATGAGAAGGAAACTGTGGTAGCTGCGTGTATACCAGGGAGAGTAGACTTCAGGGCATACCAGCCCTCTAAGAACAAAGAGGGATGTTTTATAACAATGAAAGGGTTAATTCTTCAAAAGACACAACAGTGCTAATTAGGTGTGTGCCCCTAGTAATATAGTTTCAAAAGCAATAGAGATAGAAAGAGAAGTGATAAAGTCACAGCCACAGCGGAAAGCATCAGCAATTATCTGTCCGTAACTTAGAGAACCAGGAGAGGGAAGCCGGGAGGAGGAGGCCAGTGTGATTCCTGCGTGACACCAGCAATCAAGCCTGCCCACTCCCGCGCACAACCCACACTGACAGGAGCTGAAAGGTCAGAATCAGAGGCAGCACAGCTTAATGCTGACCCGTGTGGAATTAAACTCCTAACGGCAGAAAGAACAAGGAAACATTTGGAAATAAACTCACTTCTAAATAATTCACGGGTCAAGGAGACAGCCCCAGTGGAAACTTAAAAATATTCTGAGCTGAACCAGAATGAAAGTAAATCATATACAATTCATGGAAGAGGGCAGTGCTAGGGAGGAAGTTTATAGAATTAATCACTCAGATTAAGAAGAAACAGTATCTAAACACACACCCCCACTTTAAGAAGTTAGGAAAAACTGAAAAGAAACAAACCTAATGCACATGGAAGGAGGGAATAATAAGGGTGACAATACATGTTTTTACATACTACCAATGAAATTTGAAATTAATGAAATAATAATAATAATAATAATTCACAATAGCTCAAAAATGAGAGGTTGAGCTACATCAAAAAAAGCATGCACAAAATCAAAAATTACTAAAGTATTGATCAAGTAACCAAAGAAGACCTCATAAAGACAGAGGCCTACTGTGTTAGAGGATTGGAATATTCAGCAGAAGAGAAACATTAATTTTCTATGAGGTTATCCACAGATCTAACAACAGTCCAGTTAAAATTGTGGCCCAGTTTTTGAGACATAAGGAAGCCATCTTTAAAATTTACATGAACAAAGAAGTAAGAACAGGCTAAGCCATTTTGAACAAAATGTAAATTCGGAGGAATTGTGCTCTTCCTCAGACTGGCTTCAAGTCTGTGTCCCATCGAGAGGGGACAGGCACAGAGATCACTGCGTGGACCAGACAGCCAGGAACAGACCAGATGTGGCCAGTGCCCTGCAATGGCCGGGAGGCCATTCAGTGGTAAAGAGTAGCCTTCCAAAAAATTGGGGAGGACGGTCAGATCTCCCTTCACCAAAAGGAAACCGAGGTGTGAGCTCTACACCGTCCACAAAACTCAACCCTCTGTGAGCCACAGATCGAAGTTTGGGAAGCAGAGCTCCTCAGCTGCTAGAGGAAAAACACTGGAGGAAGTGGGTGTGGCCGGGACAGTCTGAGAGGTCTTAGGCATGGCAGGCAATGGAGCACAAAACCACACAAGGAAAACAGCTGAGAAAGTCGGAGATGACCCAAAGTAAAAACTATTAAAAGACCCTGTTATCTGGATGAGAAAACAAGTTACAGATTGGGGGAAGATATTCGCAAACTACATATCTCACAGATACTTGAGTCTGAGATAGGGAAAGAACTATGAAAACTCAACAGTTAAAAAAAATCAGACAATTTTAAAATGGACAAAAGATGTGGACAGAAATGTCAGGAAGGCAGAACAAAGGCAGCAGAAACAAAAATAAGAAGTAGGTGTGGAAAGATGTTTGACATCATTAGCGAGTAGCGAATGCAAATTAGAACCACCTTGAGGCACCGGTTCCAGATAAGGTAGGATCTCTTGACACAGTGACAGCAGAAACAAGACCAGGCCAGATCCCTGGAGCTTGCACCCCTCCCAGGCAGAGCTGCATTGGGGTGGGGGCTTCAGCTGCCTTGTGGCTTTGGCTGAAGGGAGCGGGCAACTGGTTCATGGAGGGACTGAGCTGCTCCTCGGGGAGCAAAGAAGGCAGCAGGGAGTATGGATTCTCTGGGTGGGCTAAAGGCTGGCGGTTCTCGTGGGCCAGGGCCATGGCTCCAAAAGATCTGTCTTCCGGCTGACCTCAGTCATCTCACCCAGAGGCTGCCGAGTCCTTCTGTGTCTGGTGCCATCATCCTGCACAAGCGTCCTGACCTTGTGGGTCCAGGCCCCGTGATAGGGCAGAGGGACGTCGGGGGCTTGGGTGTTAGAGGCTTCTGAAGTAGCACAAGGCTGGGGCAGGAAAGAGGAGAGAGACAGAAGATGAAAACACATTCCGGGTCCAAAGGGCAACAGACAGCTAACCTTGCCCTGCCTTCTTGGGCAGAGCATTTCCAAATGGTCAGTGCGCCTGTCTGTATGCATGGAGCTGAGTAGACGTGGACCCGAGGGTTGTGACAGCGGAGATGACAAGCGTGGTGTGAAGACAGAGACGCCAAGCTTTTGCCCCGTTCCAGTCAGCCCAGACACCTGCAGGCCCGAGGGAAGAGTCCGTGTTGCAGCAGCAAGCACAGTCTTTAGGGCCCCAGAAGTAGCCAGGCGCTGTGGTCACAGCCTGCAGGTCACAGGTGTCACCACAGCAAAGCCAGGGGACCAGCATGGCACTGCCCAGCTGCGAGCAAGTGAGGCTGGAGAGTTTGTTTAGACTCCGTCCTTGACCACCATTTCTCACTTACTGCACACCTCTGCCTCTGGGGCTCATCAGGGTCTCCAAGGCTGATGGTTACAGTGACTGGAGCAGCCCCACCATGGGGGTCCCTGGCCGTGTTTGTCCCCACTGTCCCTGTTAAGCAGCTGGTGTCCAATGGCTGGAGATGCCACACATGGCTGGGAGGCACAGGGGCCACTCTTGGAACGGAGTGGGAGTTGCTTAGGAGTTGAAGCAGATACTTAATGCCAGTCCTCCTCGGGGACATGTGGGGTGGGGGTGAGGAGAACACCTGCAGCCCGCTGTGGCTGTGTCCCGGTGTCCCCACGGGACTGACGAGGTGTCCGGACCTGGGGTGTGGGAGGGGACACCTTTCCTTACCCAGCCGAGGGGTGGCAGTGACACTCTGGGAGCCAAAGTCAGGGAGCAAGGGGCAATCAGAACAAATCCACCTAAGGAGGGATGTAGGGGATATGGCAGTCTTCGGGAAGGGAGACCTGAAGTCTCAGGTTGGACTGTTTCATGCCTGGGTTAGGTGAAGTGGGAGGGCTCCAGTGTGGGTCAGGGGACTGCGCGGCCGGTGTGCTCAGACCCTTGCTGGCCCTGTGCAGTGCTGCTCCCTGGGGCGTGGGCAGGACCTGGGTGGGTGAGGGGGAAGGGAGGAAAGAGGCTTTCCACTGACCTTGGGGAGAGAAACCCCAGCTTCCACGCCTCTCTCCTGTGGCCTTCCGGTTCCTTCTGGTTCAAAGTCCCCAGCACACCCAGGTACCACACTGAACCCCAGGAGTGGGATCCACTGGACAATAGCACTGCACACAGCATCACGGCGTGGAGACCCCAGCATCCCGGAAGGAGCTGCATGGAGAGAAGGAAGCCGGTCTCCATCTGCACGCTCTGTCACTCTCTTCCTGTGACTCCAGAGCACGAGCAGGTTGGGGGTGTGGCTGGGAGGCTCACAGCAGGAATCATGGGACAGGGTGGCCGAGGTTCCTTCTCCTGACTGTCTATGGCCGCAGGAATCCAGGCCAGGGCTGAGACCCATGGAACTAGACGCACACATTTTCAAAGTCCATTTAACAGTGTATTAATTTTAAAATGAATAAAATAGAAGCTCAGCAACATATAGTAGAAAAAAGCATAAGCTGAACAAACTGAAGGAGAGATATCCTGTAGAACATTTTAGGAGTGTATCACGTGGTGGGTAATTTAATTAAAATGCCAGTAACCCCCAAATAATATATAAATGAACAACTAAAACAAATAGAATAGAATGAAAAACAAAGTAGTATAAAGAAAACAAGACATGCAGTCAATGAACTTGAACATAAACAGCTATCAATTCAGATGAGGTGCCTGTGGAAGCCTGTGAATTTCTGTGAAGATTGATCAAGGAAAAAAGTAAAACTCAGGTGCATGTTTTTTTGGGTGAAGAATTCCTAGCTTCAGAAGCAGCCAAGATTAAAAAGATAAGACAGTAGATAAGAAAATAAGATGAATAATTTAACACCAATGAAAATTTAAAATTAGGTGAAATGATAAATCATGGAAAAGACAACAGATCTAATTGAAGCAGATGTAAAAATTTTAATGATCGTATTAACCATTTATGAATTTGAATCAGAGATAAAAGTTCTTCCCAGTAGGGAAGCACCAGCCCCAGATCATTTAAAGGCAGATGCTACTAATCAGTTACGAAGCAAAATACATATTTGCCATCTCGTACAAGTGAGCGTCCTTGAGTAAGCTTCAGAGTCTAATATGTCCTGGATGGCAGAACAGCAATAATCACAAACCAGAGAGCAGCCCTACGAGGAAGGACTGGCCAGGACAAACACTTTGATACACACCGATCAAAGGGTCCCAAAGACGGGACAAGAGGTGGAGGAGAGAGGCTGACTTGGCCAGCACGCACTTCACAGAGGAAACAGAAGAGTGTTGCCCAGGTTTATGAAGAAGTCATTCTAGTTATTTGCTTAATCAAAAAGAGAAATTCTGACCCCAGTCACACCATATACAACAAATTGATTCCATTTGGACTACAGACCAAAATGTAAATGATAAAGCAACACGTGCCAAGGTAGGGGCATATCTGTGCCCAGGGAGTAGGGGTAGACACTGAAAGGCCAAAGTGCCGATGATTTGAACCAGCTTGAAATTAAGAAACACTGTTTGGCAAGTGATGCCAAAGCCAACTGCAAAGCTGAGAAAAACCACCGAAAAACTTGGGACCAACGGTGATTTGTACTCTGAACATTCAGGAGTTTCCACAACAGCAGAAAGGAGACAAGGAAAAGGGCAGGAGAGATCCGCAGAGAGCTGTGCATGCAGCTCCCTGCCGGCCTGTTGTCAATGGGCACACGTGACCATGGCCTGGGAGCCTGGCAGCCCAGCACAGCCCCAGGACCTCAGGTTTGCACCTGAGGTTTGGCCTGTGCAGAATGGGCAACACAGTGGGGTCATTTCAGGAAACGGTAACGGAATGAGTCACATAGAACACAGCCGTGTGTGTGTGTAACATGGCGCCTCCGTGGGAAGTGACTGGCTCTCATCTACACACAGAGCACGTGGGTGAGTCTCGGAAGCACGATTATTTAGAGAGAAAAATGAGCCACAGAGGAACGCTTTTGATGTCCTTCCATTTATACAAGTTTGGAACAAGGAAAATCTAAATGTGTTATTTCTGGATAGGAGTTATATGTGTCACATGATTTTATTTCAAAAAGGAGGTTACTGATTAACACAGAAGTGAGTGAAGTTTTTATATGGGCAAATAAGAAGCCGTTTGCAATCGCTTGGGGAAGCCTGAGGGTACAAACTCAGTAATGATCCATTTCTCAGAGTGGATGGTGGGTAGATGATGGAGTCGTTAGCCTTTTATACGATGACTCATTGTATTTAAAATGCCCATACTAGTTCTGTCTCCATCCTCAGGCTGGACATCAGCAGATGAGAAAATGGTGCTCTTGGATGTGCTGGATATGGCCTGGGGGCCATTGGCAGACTGGAGTGGCACGGAGCCAGCTCTGGGTTGAGTGCCCTGGTTCAGGGGACCGGGACCTGGTAGTGCTGTCCTGCAAGTCAGTGCATGGTCAGGGCTTACCCAGTGCCCAGAAGTCATGCACCTTGCTGTCCTTGGAAAGAGCCTTGAGCCTGGTCTTCGTTGGCTGGGAACCGTCCAGCCTCTTGGAAGCTCTTCAGAAGGACTTTCAGCAAAGTGTGCCCTGGTGCCTGACACAGAAAAAACATCCTTGGGGGGCTGCCCTCGGGTTTGCTCCAGATCTGTTGGTGGTTTGTGTGCTGGGGGTCAGTCTGGGCTTTGCCCTTTGATCCTGGGCTGCCTCATGATTCTCAGAAGGGAGGAGTCTGGGTGCTGACCTCTGGGCCTGGCAGCAGGAGGAACGTGAGATGGGAGTCTTGCCCACATGGGAGAAAGACTCAAGAACACGTGACTGCCGTGCTGGCTGTGACCCTGGCAGAAGTGAGGGCTGCGTGTGTGTCTGCCCGTGTGTGTGCATGTGTGCGCGCTGAATGTGCACCTGAGAATGGATGTGTGCTTTAAAAAAATGCAAATGAAAAGTGAGAGTCTCGATTCTTGCTGAGAAAGTAAGGGCAGAGATTTTCAGGCCCTCGGACTTTTCTTTCAAGATGCCTCCTGTCTTTGCAAAGTCTATAAGTCTATATGATGGTCTGGTAACTTCACCAGCCTCACAACTCAGAGCGGGGTGCATCGTCATGAGGTGCAAAGATCCAGGCCCAGCACCCTGACACCTTCATCCTGGGGGGTGGGGTGGTAAATGCATGATTTCCTGAGGGTAAATGCATGACTCCCAAAGAGCTACCTCCTGTCCTAAAGAGGTGGGTCCTGCTCCTCCCTCTCCAGATAAAGCCAATCTTCCCCCAGCCAGCAGGGTGAAGCTAGGACCAAGCATGTGCCACAGCTGGTGTTGTAGTAGAGTCCTTTACCTGAGACCCAGCAACTGCCCACCTCAGGACCCCGTGTGAAGAGGTTCTGCCAGCTCAGCTTGAGGGCGAAAGTCTTTCCTGTCTTTGGCATCTCAGCAGACTACTCACGATGAGCACTTTGCTGCTGCTTTTCAGTAAAAAACCACCTCCTTTCTCCTCTGCCTTTCTAGAGAGCCTTCCTAGGTTTGGAAGACACACTTTTTAGAAGACTATTTCCCCAGCAGTGTGGATTGTGTGTGTGTCTGTGTGCACGCTGGTATATATGTATGTCCGTGCATGAAAGAATATGCACATGTGTCTTCTGCATGTAGTGCACAAATAGGTGTGCATGTTGTGCAAGCCCGGATGGGTGTTGAGGGAGGAGAAGAGCCATGCGATAGCTGCTGCTAAAGAAAACTATCATCCAGTGACCCTCGTTGAAGCACAGGGAGGCAGACTTGGTTTAGGACCATCACGACAGATATAAGGTCACAGGAATGAGACTTTGCAGTGGGGCAGACAGAGTGGACCCAAGTATAGCATAGTGAGCAGGGATTTGTGGCCACTGAGCAGGTGGGGTCAGGAAGTGGATGCTACGGGATGCTTCTGAAGAAAGGCTGGGTGGCCAGACATAACCTGGGGCTGCTGGAGGATGCAAGACCCACTCAGGTATCCAGAGGTCAGGATGAAGGTGGGGTTTTTGCTAAACTGCCATGGTGGGGTTTTGCTAAAATTGGGTTTTCCACAGAGTGTACAGTGGGTCCCAGAGGATGCTCAGGAGACTGACTGCAGTGTGGACCAAGGTCACCCTTGTCACTGCACACCCCGAGGGTCTTGAGTCCCCATCACTGGGAGTAAGGTTGCAATGAAAACCCTGTGGACAGCTGGGTGAGCTGGTATATGGGCTCAAGGCTGTACGGAACCCTAACCTGTACTGGCCGAGAACCCAGAGACAGAGTCCTGTCCTGCCCTGTAGCCCTGGGAGAGTACCCTTCTGTGGATGGTATAGAGTCAACTCTGTCAGACACCCTACAAGTTGGTCTGCTGTCTCATTATTTCATTATGTAAATGTTGGGTTAGGGTTTGTTACTTCCAGAAAAGCAATTTCAAGAGAGATCAGGAAAAATAATGACAGCCCCAAATAGGAAAAATATTGACAGCCCTGAGTCTTGCTTGGCTATAGATCATAGAAAAGGGGAAGACTAGGGAAAGCTGAGTCCTTCCAACACCTTTTGAATATTCCACAAGCTTAATTCTCAAGCGAGTTTGGACAAGAGTCATGGTGAGATCAAAGGTTGAACCCAGCAACAAGACCTGCAGTGTGAACTTCCACGCACAGGAAGGCCTGCCCTGAATGATGCCAGCCCCATTGGAAAAGGACAGAGCAATAGTACTTGCAGTCTATGCCAGCGGATGGCCAGACCAGAGGAGCCTGGATCAGGCCCCACCAGTGGCCACTGCAGGGTGACTGGTGTAAAGGAGTGCAGGAAGCTGGGTTAGCCAGATATTATATCACCCCCTAAAAGAAGACCAGGACAGAAGGAATTCAGTGGGGGAAAATAAACACTCTCATTAATCAAAGCAGGCAGCGATTCCTTAAACAGGAGTGAAGGCTTGGTCCATATAGGAAGAGAAGGCTTCCTAAGGAGGAGGGACTTCTGTGCTCCCAAAAACATGTAAGAAGAGGAAAGCACACCCACAAGGGAGGAGGTCTGTAGCACAGATGTCTGACACAGCCTCCCTCAGGATGGGCTGAAAGCAGCAACTTACAAGTTAGTCACAGAGGGTAACCTAAGAGGCAATGGCCAATGATGTGAACTGTGCTGAAGGCTTGGTTGCTCAGGGGCTTTGGGGAGTGAATGGATCATGAGGGATCCAGCTTCATGATTCAGTGAGATCATAATCTGATGGCATTACTCAAGAGGTAATGGAATGTTGTGTGTGAGGCCCGCTCAAGGAAGTGAGTGGGTCACGGGTGCTGATCTTGGAGACAGTGTCTTGTCCCTGGTGTCTTCACCTATAGATCTCTCCTTCGAACCGTTTTGGGACAGCCACACCCTTCCGCCATGATGTTCCTGTCTGGCCACAGCCCTGAACACAACAGAGTCCATTGACTATGGACTGAAGCATCTGAAACTGTGAGCCCAAAATAAACTTCTTCCCTTTTAAATTGTTTATCTCAGGTATTTTGAGAAGCTGGCTAACACAGGAAATGGGTTTTGAGAAGCTGGGTCACTGCTGTGACTATACCTGATGATGTGGCTCAGAAGCCTTTGGAGTTGGTTTGCAGGAAGAGTTTGGTAAGGTTTGGAGAAATAGGCTAGAGAAGCTCTAGAAGGCTGTAAGCAGAGCTTAATGGATGTTCAGATGGGAGTTCCGATGACCATAATGCTGACGGGAAAGTGGACAGTGAAGACTGCACTCATGAGTTTCAGATGGGAGCAAGGATTCCACTGGGATTTGGGACAAGAGCCATTTGTGTTACATTCTGGCAAAGAATTTTCCTATGCTTTGTCTATATCCTAAGACTTTGTGGGGACTGAATTTAGAGGCAATGGAAATTTCAAGGCACCAGACCATTTATGCTGTGATGTAGGTACTGCTGAATGCTTTTAGCCAGATTTACTGTGAGCATCAGGAGCAAAAAGCAGAGTGGAAAGATTTGAAAAAGTTGCAGTTTGTGCAGAAAAGGAGTGCCTATAAAGCTGGGACAAGGAAAGTGTGGTTGCTGAAGTAACGCCACTGTAAGAAGTCAAGTTCTTTGCACTGTGAAAATCCAAAAGATGCCTTGAAGACATTTCAAGAATTGGCCACATTCACCCATAATGACACACTTTAAGGTATAAAACTATAAATTCATTTGAAAGACTTTGCTTTAAGAAGAGAGACTATGGAGTTTCTTCTCACTCAGGGCCACTTAGGGAAAGGTTTCCCAGGATTTATTTCACCAGGCTCAGCTGCCAGAAGCCACTGCAACCATAGACCAAGGGGTTCCAGCTACCGCTGGCCTTGGTGTCATCAATATGGTGCTGCAGAATGTAGGCATTCAGAATGCAGGTTATAGGGTCTCTGAGCTTCCACAGAGATTTCAAAGGGAGGTCAGATACTGTATGACAGGATCAAAGTCCTTTCTGTCAGCCCCAGAGAGAGCAACACATGAAGCTGTGAGATGAATCCAAAGCTGCATGAAGACTTGGAGATCCCAGGAATGTGAAACATCTTCCAAAGGAAAGCTATAGGCAGTGAGCAGATCCAGCCTTAAGGAGCGGCCATGAGAGATGCAAGCAGTGAGGCTATAGGGAAAGGGCTGCCCAAGCCCTTTGGAGTTCACGTCTTGTCACCATGTCCCCTGGATGCTGCATGTGCAGCTATAGGACTTAATGTTTGTCCTGCTGGATTTTGGTCATTTGTCTAATCCCTCCTTTCGATGCCCACATTCTCCCCTTGTGTAATAAGGATATTTACTCCATGTTATTTTATCTTTGGGATGTGTAACTTGTTTGTTTTTTTTTATTTTATTTTATAGGAGCTTCAGCTAATAATTTGCCTTGAGTCTCAGAGGAGACTTTGGACTTGGGCTTTTGAGCAGTGCTGAAACTATGAGACCTCAGGGACTTTTGGAGATGGACTACATGCACAGTGAGATGGACACTAAGCATTTGGGGCTGAGGTGGAATGTCATGGTTTGATCCAGTAGTTACCTCAAAAGGGCTCATTGTGTTGAAGGCTTGGCTGCTGGTGGGCTTTTGGGAAGTAATTAGTCATGGTTGTTCTAACTGAATCAGTAAGTTAAACCTTTCATGAGCCCCTAATTTGATGGTGTCACTGGGAGGTGATGGGAAAAGGCTCAGCCTAGTAAATGGCAATGTGGCCTTAGGGACTGCATCTGGTCCCTCACCCTGGCCTCTGGCTCCGTCACCCTCTCATGACTTCTAGATGCCATGCAGTGAGCAGCTTTCTTCTGCCATCCCTTCCACCATGATGTTTCTGCCTCACTCTCCCCTGAAGCAATGGAGCCAGCTGACCATGTACTGAAACCTCCCACACCGAGCCCAAACAAACCCTTCCTCCTGGAAGTCGTTATACTGAGGTTCTTTGTCACAGTGAAGAAAAGCTGACTTTTCACAACGCAGAGTACCTGAGGGTCTATGGATGTGTGCATAGGGGTCAGTGGTCATCAGGGAGGCCAGGTGCTGGACACAGTGTGGTGCACTGCACACATGGTGAGGGACTGCCCCAAGGTGGAACAGATGATGTCCCTTTGTCTTGCCCTCCCTGGAGTCTTTCTGGAGCACCAGCCCTCAAGAGCAGAGAGGGTTCCCAGAATGCCCTGCGGAGGGGACCTGGCAGAGCAGCGGTGCAGGAGAGGGGGTGGAGAGACATTTGGCCTGGTCTCCAGCACTGTAAACTCAGAGGCCTGGTGGCCAGGCCTCCTCTCACCTGTGGAGGAAGTTGCCAGTGAGGGGAAAAGATGGGGTATTGTCCCTGTTGACCAAGGCAGTACAATTTAAAATCTTACACATCACACTCAAAGGTAGCAGGGGACGACTCTGAGAGGTGGAAAGGCAGAGCCAGAGCCAGGCTCCTCCATAGCCAAGGATCAGCACCCTGTGCTTCCTCCTTCTCAGCCCTAAAGGAGCCCACAGATGCAACCAGGAAATGCCGGCCACCCGTGGGACCAGCTCTCTGCAGCAGAGCCACCAGGAAAGATGCCAGCCTGAGAAGATGCAACACCTGGGAACTCAAAGGCATCGAGACACGCCAAACTCTATGTGTGTCTCATTTTGACAAGAAAATCTTTCGGTGCTCAGCACCTAGGTCAGTCTTGGCAGCTTGTGAACGACATAGAAGCCCTACTTCCCTTCTCATTGCTGTCTTATACTGTGTGCAACATAGTAACAGTGATCCCGCTAAGGCTGAAGGTCTAAGAGCCCAATGAAAGGCCAATGTTAACCTTGTAAGATGGGAAGATTCGGGGGAACTTTCAAGAACTATTTCTAGGGACATTATTTCCTCTGGGGACATTGCCTCCATCCTTTCTTTTCTTCCATCTTTTCTGCCCTCCTTATGAGGTTCCCAAGAAGTACTGAGCAATGACAGCAGCTTGCCCTCCAGCCAAACCCAGTAGGAGAGACACAGCAAACAGTGCTGGTCCCCCTCAAGCCAGCAGGGGCAGGCAAGCAGACAGCCGGTGTCTCCTTTCTCCACTGTGATAAAGGTTCGTGGAGCCTCCCTACCCTGACTAAGTGACAGCAACAACAACAACACCCCAAACCCCCAAGCCCAGACTGTGACCCTGTGACCCACAATACACAAAGGGTACCTAGACTTAGCCGTAGGAGAACTAGTGCCCTAAGTAGCATCTGGCCAAAGGAGAAGTACAGAAGGCAAATGAACACATGGATCCCTCCCCACCCTCATGCGCCCCCCAGGAGACATAAGTTACAGCAATAGACAGTGCTGACTGCCTGTGATGAGGGCCAGCATCCTGAGCCCCTGACGGTGCTAGAGCTGACAAGGACGGGAAGAGCGGGATTGTTCGCCAACACAGTGAGGACTGGTCGGTGGCTTTTGAGGAAGTGGAGCTTGCACACGATGCAGCAGTCACACTTTTGGCTATTTACCCACAGGGGATGAAAACTTGTGTCTGCATGCAAACCTGCTTGTGGGTGTTGGCGGGACCTTTTTCCAGCACTGCCAAGACTTGGAAGCCAGCAAGACGTCCTTTGGTGGTGAGTGGGTCAATTGGCCAAGGCGCATCCAGAGAAGGGAGTTACCATCGTTCAGCACGAAGAAGTGAATTATGCAGCTAAGAAAAGACGTGCCGGAGTCTCAGACACATGCACCTAAGTGAGAGAAGCCAATTTGAAGAAGCCCCAGCACATATCATTCCAACTGGAGACAGTCTGCGAAGGGCAGCACTGTGGAGGTCGCAGAAGGTCGCAGAAGTGGTTGCCAGGGGCTGGAGAACACTGAGAATCTTAGGACTGTGAAACTGGATGGTCTGCAACAGTGGATAAGCATCATGACCCATTTGCCCAAGCCCACAGGGTGTTTCACACCAATGTTTCATATGTCGGTGCACACAAGAGCATGCGCCGTGACCTGATTGCTGACCACAGACCAGGTGCCAGCGATGGCTGTAAGAAACACTCTGCTGTGATGGGGATTTGGACAATGCAGGAGGCTGTGGGTGTGGAGGTGGGGGGTACATGGGAAGTCTCTGGACTTTTCTCTCGATTTTTCTAGGGACCCAACACTGCTCTAAAAAACTGAGGATTTCTAAAATAAACCTGTCCATCAGAAAGTTTCCTCTGCCCCGTGCTTCCATCCTGTTAGCCTCCTCCACGTTCCTGGATGGCATTGGCCAAGCCTGCAAGTAGGGGGACCTTGGGTGTGCCACAGCACAGGTGGGACCTAGGCTGGCTCCACTGTGATTCCCTCCCACCGAACTTCCAGCCTCGCTAGCGCCCTCCCAAGGCATCCACAATGCATCTGGTCACACACTGCCCCAGTATCAGTCCTCATACAGCCGCCTCCACACTGAGCAGCCTCCATCCAGGTCCTGAATCTGTCTCTATCCTGAGGCCCCTGGCCCTGTGGCTCTGTGGAGTGGGCATCAGGTTCTCTTCCTCTCAGAGCCCAGGGTGTTGGACCCATCTGCTGGCTTGTATCGGGCAGCCTGGGCAGGGGACAGGACTCTGCAGTGGCCCTGAAGATGTGTGACTCCTGCAGACACAGCCTCAGTGAATAGGGCAGACCTGAGGTCGCTGGGTGTACATATGGGGCTGCTTGCTTCTGCAAAAGGGAGGAGAGGAAGGGAGGCTGGGTCCACAAGGGCTGGTCCCAGGGTGACCTGGAGCTTCCTGCTCACTGAAGGCAAGAACCAAGCGATCTCTGGAGCCTTGGAGTCATTTCTAGGACCACAGAGAGACAGAGCCCATGAGCACGAGCCTGTGTGGACAAGAAGCCAGGAAACGGGAGAAAGAAGGGGTCCAGGGGCTCTGTGCAGAGCACTCTCTGGGGTCTTCTGCCACCTGCCCCAAGGGGCTCCTACCCCAGGCCACACATGGGGGGTTTCCAACTCACATCATCCTCAAGAAGCAGCTCAATGGGCTAAGCAGGCCGGGCTCCCAGTCCCACCGTAATTGTCTCTCCTTGGGTGTTGCCACAGACTCGCACTCCAAGGCTTGCTCTCCACTTAGGCGATATCTGAGACGCCAATTGAAGAATGCAGCTCTACCTAGCCTCGCTCGCACATCTCTATTTTCCCTCTGCGCGCCGGCGCTGGGGGCCGCAAGGTGTCTCTGCCTTCATTACTGCGTCCCAGCCGGGCTGGCGCTCAAGGTCACGGACAGCCAATCTCCCACCTCAGGATCCCAATTGGGAGCTCCCTCAAGCATGAACTATCAAATTATTGTCAATTCCGGCTGATTTTCTAACAGACAATGGAAAATCTTTGGTGGACTTCATCTGTGACTCCTACCCACTTTCTTATTTATTCAAAAATAACAGTGAAAGGTCACAGGCCCAGCATACGCAGTTAGCTCTTTGCTGTTTATTGAGTTTTTATGCTTGGTTTAAAACTGAATTACTGGGGCATAAAGTGAAAACGCGCTCATACCCTTCAGGAAAATCTGTACATAAAAATTAAATTGTATTATGAACAGCGGAGGGAGCCATGTGGGAAGCTTGGAAGAATTGATTAGGAGATCAAAGTGTCGCCGAGGATGCGTTATAATTGCTCAGGCCTGTCCCCGCATGTGTGTCTTTGTCATCTGGAGTCATTTAGTGAGGCCTCTGCCTGCTGCAGGTGGTGCAGTGCCAGGTGCTGCCTGTCCTGGGTGAGGGCTGGCCCTGGGGCTTGGCCATCCCAGGGCAGGGTGGGCACCAGCACGGACAGGGCTGGCCCACTGCAGGCTTGGCTCCTACAGCCTGGGCGGCTCTGGGTGCTGGCAGTGGGAGCGGAGAAGCCCAGGGACAGGTGCCCAGCAGTCGGGATGGAATCTGTGGGCTGGGATCCCACCTCTGGGCCGCACCTAGCCTAGAAGTGCAGAAGAGCGCCATCTACAGGAGCTCTGCGCGGCCTCACTGGCCCCTGAGGGAGAGACGACGCCCTCCTCACCAGGGTGGTACAGCAGCAGGCACAGGCTGATGTTCCGGTCCCATCCCCACCCTGTCCCTGCCTCTGTCCCCGTCCCCAACCCACAAGGGGTCACCCAGCTCCACAGTCACCCTGATGGGAGCCCCATAGCCCACCGCAGCCTTTCCAGCATTTCCTCGGCTCCTCCCTGCAGCCAGGCCTGGAGCTCCTGGGCAGAAGGGCAGTAACACTGCCCTAGGCACCCTGGGAGCATCTTACCCTGAAGGATGCTGGGAATCCGTACACTCAGGTTTCCATTTCTGCTTTCTGTTCCATGACTGAGCTCAGGGCTCCCTGACACAGGGAAGGGCCCAGCTCACGTTTCCAGGGATGGACCCCTCGCTCCTCCATTGCCCACCTGGCCTGGGGTAGGAGTGGGCTGGGTCCACTTCTAGGCTCTTAGCAATTGCATGGGCAGCTTGGGAAGCCACTTCCTGTCACCGTAGAGCTGAGAAATTCCAGCTGGAGGGTCACACCTGGTGAGTGCGGTGGCCCTGGTGTCACAGGGTGGGGTCAGAGCAGCTGGCACAAGGATCTTCCTGCTGTGCCTTTGTCCTTCAGTTCGTGTGTTTGTATGACTAATGTGCATCCTATAAATCTGGGGTAACACAGAGCCACAGCTGCTAAGGGTTTGTGACACCTAAAAGGAGTTCAGATAAGTTTTTGAAATAGAGTCTGGCCATGCAGCCCCAAATGGGTGCAAGCTTATGATCCTCCTGCCTCAGCCTCCTCAGCTCCTACAGGCCTGTACCGCCACACTCAGCTGGAGTAAGGGCATTTTAAGAAGCATATGAGCCAGCAGCAGGGAAGGGGAGGAGGACAAGGAGGCGGGCGTGTGGCCCGGCTCTGTAGAGCTGGGTTGCAGGGAACAGTATTTTCACAACCTTGGCCTTGAACTGGTCCTTTTTGGATGCCCTGTGTGTGTGCAGGTGCTGTGCTGCCTCCTGCTGCCCTTCTGAACCGAGATAATCCAGTGACAACTTTTGGCCTTGGCTCGTCCCTGTTACTTAGAAACATGGTCAGAGGGGACCTTGGCCCAGCTGCAGGCTTCTACCCTCCAGGAAGGACATCGCTCCCCACAACCGATGACTTTGAAGGTGATGCATTTTCCAAACCAAATAGAAACCTCTGCTCCATGGTCACAGTGGCACGGTGATACTGCCTCTGATGAAACCCACACCCTGGGGTCCCTGCCCCTTCCACCAGCCCAGCAGCTCCCATGTGGCTGCCGAGGAGTTTAGGACTTGAGAAGGATCCACCCGTGAAGAAGGGACAGGCAGCGACAGCAGGGTCCCACTGCAAAGGAAGGTGCTGCTAGGCACCGCGCTTGGCCCTGACCTGCCTGTCCCACCTAAAGGCACGGGTCACGGGAGCACAAGGTCCCCTCCTTCCAGAGCTTCAGGGATCCTGCAGCACCACAGGGTTCAGCACTCACCCATCGGGCTTGGCACCTCTCACCCCAGGCCCCATCCTCCTGTGGGGTCTGCAGCTGGCTCCAGAGCCGTCCCTCTGCATCTGTCACATCTGGAGGATGTGGCCCTGACAAGGCCCCTTGATACACCCACAGGGAATTATGTAACTGTACAGCTCAGCTCTCCACGCTTGTAAATACAGACAGATGGGAAGTTGGGGCGCCCTCCCGATGTCTACGGTGAGGAGCAGGGTGTGAGCCTACGTCTGCCCTGGCGGTGTGGCTTGCTGAGCACAGGGTCCAGGCCGTCTGCTAGCTGAGTTAATGAGCACCATTCCACGCTGGCCAGCGCTGAGCATGGCTCACGCTCACAGCATGGGAGCTCTGGGTCAGGTCAGGGTCCAGGCGCTTGGTGATTCAGACCACAGATCATGGCCACTCTGGCCTCTGGGGCCCCATCCTGTGCTCGGCCATTAACTCAGGCTGCTTCCCACCGGAGTGTGGAAGACGGACCGAGGGCAGGCGCTGGGAGGGACAGTGACGCACACACTGCGGAGGACGGGAGGCTCTGTCAGCTGCTTCCTCACCGGACTGGAGACAGAAGCCGAGAAACTGCCCAGGGGAGCGGTGCAAACGTTAGAGTTGCTGCCCACACGGCTTGCAGCCTTAATTAAGTGTCTCTCTGCAGACACCCAGCTGATCACAGGGTTACCAAGATGACCAAGGCGCTGCCTCCTCATTAAGGCGGCCACAATCTATCATTAGCCCTTTTGTTTGAGCGAGTGTTAATATTCGTTTACACCAAGATTCTCTAAACTCGGGGCACTCAGCTCGTGTTTCTGGAGGAGCAGCAAGGTCAGGGGCTGGGGGCCAAGTGTCCATCCATCTGTGCACTTTGCATGTGCACTGGGCGGGGTGACCTGCATTTCCTTTGTATTGTTTCTAGGCTGTGAGGGCAGAGGGGAATTGAGATGGAGTCTTGGTTCCTGTGCCTTCATTGCCTACCACGTCTGATGCTCACCCTTCCCCAGCCCTGGGCTTTACCCGCCACTACAAACCCCCTTCTCAGTGTTCCTCTGAGACCCAGGAAGCCAAGGTCTGGTGTCCCTGCGCAAAGGGAAAAGTGGGAGGCACAGTGTGTGCACAGGACTTTGGTCCGGGCCCCAGGCCTGCTGAGGGATGGTGTGTCTTCTTTGCTGTGTCTGCCAGGGGCTCCTGTGCCCCCATTTCCTGAGTGATCTGCTGATTCCTCACCGGGGCCTCATGCTTTCCTGCAACTCGCTGTATTGACTCATCTGATTTTTCAACCGAGTAGCTGATGAATTAATAATCCCAAATAATGGCTGGCATTCCAGAATGCTAATGCATCTCTGCGGGATAAATGAAAGGCAGAGTATAGTGGGGAAGGGGAGAGGTCTCCAAGCTTATTAATTTAGCAGTCTAAATGAGAGTCAGAATCTCAGCCTGAATAAACACTGGGGGTTTGTTTCGGTCCCTGAGGTCTTTGAGAAAGTCAGCTATTGAAAGGCTTGCCTCGAAAGCTTTTAACCCCCAAGTAATTACCATCGAGCTCGCTACCATTTCGTTTCCATTAATCCAGATTTGGAGCAATTTTCCTGCTGTCGTTAGCCCAGGTTAAGTGAGTTTGTTTTTTGTAATTGTGTCCTGGTAATATCAAGCTGGACAAAAGCGCTACGATGCTGGCCAGGAACCCTGCGGCAATAAAGCACACTTTCCCTGGAGTCTCCTGCCCGGGTCGCCAGACACCAAGCCAATATTGTCTCAGTTTCCACACAAGATGTCTGCGTAGAGCTCAGTCACACGTACACACTCATTTGCACACACACATACACTTACATTCACAAAAAGCAAGCGAACCTGGAGAAGTCAAGGTGGTCACTGGATTGCATCAGTCCTCACATCCTGGCTGCGGTAGATAGAATGAACAATCAATGTACATGTAATAGTTGATTTTTTATACATGCGGTGATTTTGTAAGATGTTATGTTACGTGCTATGGTTTAGACCTAGAATGTCCCCCCAAACACTCCTGCTCCGAGGTGGAGCCTGGCAGGAGCGGGTGGATCGCTGAGGTGTGACCCGGAAGGCTGTGTTTTTGTTCCCGGCTCCTACCTCGCCTCTCTGCTTTCTAGCCATCATTGTGAGCAGCTGTCAGCTAGCCCTTCTGCTAGGCCAGTTGTGCCTTGGAGCCAGCCAACCATGGACGAAACTCACTGGAACAGTGAACCAAAATAAATCTTCTCCTTTAGGTTACAGCTGTAAGGTATTTTGTCCCGGTGACAGGAAAGGTGATTGTGACATTACTTTTGGGAAAAACTGGTACGCATCACATAGAATCTCTCTGATTGCTATTTACAAGTGCATGTCAATCGACAACTACCTCATGATAAGGCATTAAATCCAACAACATTTGCATTCATACTCTTACTTGGAATGCTAATGAGCGCACTGTATAACGCACTTCCTTTGAAGTCTTGTCTAAGCTAGTTTCAGTGGGTCCATGGAACTATAAAGATTACAGATATGTGCATGTGTACTGAAGGATTTGCACTGGAGTTTTTATTCACTTCTTTGTGCTTGACTTTGTACAAAAGCCACTTAACAAAAGTCTGATTTTTGAATCATTTCAGAAATCCCCAAGAAATACTTTGCTAACTTTCTCTCAGCTATAGATGCTCTATTTGCAAAAGAACCCCTGCCACGCCACTCAGGTCCAAGGTAGCACCTGCACGTCACCTGGGTGGCCCATGTGTGTGGCCAAACCTGTCCTGTGATATCTTTGTGGGGACACAGCCGCAAGCACAGGTCTGAGATCAGCTGTGGCTGCTTCCTTGAGCCGCTGCCATAGTGCCCCAGGGCTGGGAGGCAGGCAGGTTTGCATTCAACCCCTATTAGGGGAGGTCTATGAGTCCCACAGAGCACCAGCTCCTGGTATGCTGCTCTGGGATGGGGCTTTATCCACATTACTTTCTGTCTGGGGACATGAAGTCTAGCACCTGATCTTTACCTTCCTGTAGGGCCACTTAGGCTTCCGCCCTGGTCACCTGCTCCTAAGCAGCCGGCCTCTGCCACCAGGTGCTACCTGGGCAGGTGTGGAGCCTGTCCCTACCATCCCATACATCCCCTACTTCCCTGACATGCTCCAAGGCTCTGCACATCCATTAGGGGACAGGTCTGCACTGAGGACTCTAGGGGAGAGGTGAGAGCTGGCATGGATGGAGGTAAGGAGAAGACAAGCAGCACAGCACTCAAAGTGTGGCTTCACCCTAAATTCCGAAACTAACAAAGAAGAAAAATGTTGAGAAAGAGGCTTGAAAGCTAGCTGTAATGTTAACTTGAACAAATCAAGGCTTCCTATTGGGTTAGGGAGCAAAGCTCTGGGTGTGTCTATGGCCGACAGACATGTAGGCTGCAGACCGAGGAGGGAGGACCTGCCTGGGTGTGGGTGGCACCAACCAATAGGCTTGTAGGCTGGATGGAACAAAAAGGAAAAGAAGCAGGAAGTTTGCTCTTGGCAAAGGAGCAGCGGTCCTCCCTGTGCTCCGCGTCTGTACAGCCCACGTGGTGTGGGGCAAAAGACCATCTTTCCGGGATTCGGGACCGAAGGGTCCCCCACTGCACCCCTCCATGACAGAATCACCTGAAGGAGGCGCCTCGGTGAGAAGGGGAAGGCACAGCTGAGAATCGAGGGAGAGCGGGCCACACTCAAGGGTCCCTGAAAAGTGCTGATGATGGTCACGCTAGATCCCATAGAGCGAGGGCACGAACCCAGGCGGGGAGCAAGCCAGGGAAACCAGCCATGAGGATGCAGGCACCACATGGATGGGGAAACTTCAGATGAGCAGGAGTCGAGCAAAGCCACAACCTTTAAAAGCAAGGGACTGGAAAGCTTGACCATGCAGATAGGAAGTAGCAACATCAGTGCTGAACTAATCCAAGGTGAAGTCGGGTGATAAGGATAGAGGGCATATTCTGTGGACAGCTTGTACTGTGACCTCGGGTGCACAGCATCCAGGCTTCAGCAGGTACACCGAGCCCTCAAAACATGAAAACCGAAGACGGCACAGACGCGCCATATCCTGCAGGCCAAGCTTAGTGCCTACCATGTTTGTGGTTCTACAGATCAAAGACAACTGTGCCACTGAAGACCAAAACAACAGAACTGGCAGAGGGCCCTGTGTGTGACAAATGCATTGTACTACTCTTTTCTAGTAGGTGTGAAACATTTATGGAAATATCATAATAAACTCTAGTGAAACTTTGATGTTTTAATTGGCACACTTTACTGACTGTGCAATAAATGAAATGTAAGTAAAGCAAAGCTTTTAGAAACTTGAAAAGGTGCTTTTAGGTGTTGCAATTCCAGAAAAGAAGAGCACAGTCACATGCTGTGTAATGAGACTCTGTAGAGGGTAAGGGAGCCAGACCATCCCCGCGGACTGGGTACCGGGGACGTCACCCATGTGCAGTGGTGTAACACACCTTCTGCATGGCCAGCACAGCATGAGCATTGGGTGCACAGTCTGATACTAGATATAATGTTGCTGGCTTATGGGTTTATCACACAGTGGACCCTTGAGTTAGGACTGGCCTCACGTATGAACAACTTGGGTTACGACTGGAATTTTAGTTTTAACTTATGACCAAAGTCTTGCCTTCTGACCT